AACTCTACTTTCGCCAACCGTCTTGTCGCCTTCGCTGCTGTTGAGGGTATCTTCTTCAGCGGCTCCTTCGCATCCATCTTCTGGCTCAAGAAGCGTGGCCTGATGCCCGGTCTTACCTTCTCCAACGAGCTCATCTCCCGTGATGAGGGTATGCACACCGACTTCGCCTGCCTTCTCTTCTCTCTCCTCAAGAACAAGCCCAGCCTCGAGTCTGTCAAGGCCATCATTACCGAGGCCGTTGAGATTGAGCAAGAGTTCCTCAGCGACGCTCTGCCATGTGCTCTGCTCGGCATGAACGCCAAGCTCATGTGCCAATACATCGAGTTCGTTGCTGACCGTCTGCTGTTGGCTCTTGGCAACACCAAGGCCTACCACGCCACCAACCCCTTCGACTTCATGGAGAACATCTCGCTAGCCGGCAAGACCAACTTTTTCGAGAAGCGCGTCGGTGACTACCAGAAGGCTGGTGTCATGGCTAGCACAAAGAAGCACGAGAAGGACGGCTCATCTACGCCCGCTCCTGAGCCCCAAGGCCAGTCCGGAGACTTCTGCTTCGACGAGGACTTCTAGACGCCTCGACTTCTTCTCTTGTTATTTATTTGCGATTTAGTTACTGTACAACACTTCGGACGCTTGGGTTTGGCACGGATGCCGGGCATCTTCGTTCACATACCCCCTTTGCATTTGTTGAAGTAACCACTCTTCGCACTTTGGAGTCATGGCGTTGCTAGCTAGCTGGGATGGGCCTCTTGGATGAGTGATGCGGTAGGATAGCTATAGTACGCGACAGCGATGGGATCAACGACTCTATCATTTTGAATAATCACGAATACAAACATTTACATATATACATGTCTCCACTACCACATCTCCATTGACGCGTGAAGGTCTTCATGATGTTACTCGTGCATGACGCGTGCAGCTTCGGTCCGACACGCCACGCGACAGCATGCGCTTGAACGAACCAAGCTTTGCCGATACCTGCCCATATCTTCTACCACGTGGATTACTCGCAGTAGCCTTCATGCGCGCGACTTCCTCTGCAGATGCTACGCGCCGCCCAGGCCCGCAACCTTGCCCTTGGAAGGATTCGCTCAGGTACCGCCTACTATGACGTCAGCCATGCGTGAGGCGTCCCGCGGCTGCCATCCTGTGGAATTGCCACAAGCGAGCTGGATACTTGCAGGCTGTCCAGCGCCATGTTCAGCTCTGCAGTTTGCGACACCTTGACTACTTGCTTCTAACCAATCGCGCGCTATGGGGATATTGGTAATCCTGTCCCTGCATTTGCGTACAGGATTGGTGCACCAGACAACGACAGGCTAGCTCGTAAACATCCGCGACCCTCCGCGACAAAATCCGACTCTATCGCTATTCTAGTGCAGCGTGCATATTCTATGATTACCACTTGAACCAGGTCGCAGCACGCAAATCCGTGTGTTCAGCGAAGGGTGTCAAGTACATTGAGGTGGCGCCGGGGTAGATCCATGCCGCTTCGTGACAAGTCAACATGGCAGACACCGTACCCCAGATCAAGGTGACAGACCCACCTGCCGTTGGCAAAGGCTCCTACTTCCAGAACCAGGAGAACGCGTCTTCAATCACAGTAGACGGTACGTCACACACCAGTACCCATTGTTGCAAGTCACGTCGCAACTTGACAGATGCTTACTCCAGGATCCGCAGGCCCATTGTCCAACAAGAAACTCTCCGCCAAACTTCGAAGCCCCACCACACCCTCTGCGCAACCGGCAGGCGATACACACAATGGATACATTGGCGATGGAGAGAGATTGCCCGAAACACTCATGGACCCGCTCTCGCAAGTATGTACACATAAGGTTCGAGATGCGGAGACGGACGCTAATTGCGCATTATCGTATAGCAAATCCTCCAGAGAACGAATACGTCGCCCGCCGTACAGAAACTACGATCCCAGAACACCGAGCCGATCCAATCGCCAACGTCACCCAACGAAGCGAACGCAGACAAGAAACTGAGTGGAGAGACGGCCCGCGACACAAGCGGGGGTAAGGCAGACAAGAAGTAAGTGCACATGGTCGTTCAATTGAGCGCATGGGGTGTCATATGGCTACATGCCAAGGGTTAGCGCGTATTTCGTACTGAGGTTCAGGACCCGCGTATCGAGGCTGAGCTCGCGCTTCGCTCTCTTGTTGGCCTGATCGTCATTGCCGACGCTAGCTCCAGGTGTGACCAGTAAGGCTGACTATGTATGTAGGAAAGTGTCATTCCTTAGTCGCTTCATCGGAGGCAACAAAAAGAAGAGCACCCTCGATGGCGCAAGCGACAATGGCTCTGAGGCAGACGACCGACGACCAGAGGGTATGGATGCCCAGCTCTATGTCGACAATGTCAGCTTCAGTCCGAAGATACCACATCCTCCGGCATACATCAAAGTGAGGACAAAGTTCAAGAAGGAGAAGGAGTTTGACCGTGTCTTCCTGGCGCAGGAGTTACGCTCTGGATCGGATAAGAAGAGTCCCCCCGCTGCTGGATCAAACCCTGCGCCTCAGTCTGGGTCGGCCGCTACGCAGAATCCTATCTGGGCGGTTGAGTTCAGCAAAGATGGGAGGTATCTTGCTGTTGGTGGTCAGGACAGAGTCATCCGGGTGTGGGCCGTGATTGACAGCCCAGAAGGACGCCGCGCACACGAGAATACCGAGAGCGATCCGCATGCCCAACTCAGCGCACCAGTCTTCCAGCAGAAGCCCGTCCGCGAATACCAAGGACATACGTCGACGATCCTGGACTTGAGCTGGAGCAAGGTATGTCGAATTTATGCGAGGCATTGATGCATTAGCTGACACCTACCAGAACAACTTCCTGTTATCCTCTTCCATGGACAAAACCGTTCGACTATGGCACGTTAGCCGAGACGAGAATCTATGTACATTCAAGCATTCCGACTTTGTTCCTTCCATTCAGTTTCACCCTACGGACGACCGATTCTTCCTAGCTGGTTCGCTTGACGCCAAGTTGCGGCTATGGAGCATCCCCGACAAGAGCGTGGCGTTTTCGATCACTGTCCCAGACATGATCACATCAGTAGCGTTTACGCCCGACGGAAAGACGTGTATAGCTGGTACCCTCGGTGGACTCTGCATGTTTTACGATACTGAAGGATTGAAGTGGCAGGCGCAACTCCACGTAAAGTCGACTCGCGGTCAGAACGCGAAGGGCAGCAAGATTACTGGAATCCAAGCGACATACTGGCCTCCAGGAAGCGAGAGTGGTGAGATGAAGCTCTTGGTATCGAGCAATGATTCGAGGCTGCGCATCTACAACATGAAGGACAAGACTCTAGAGATGAAGTTCCGTGGTCACGAAAACAACTGCAGTCAAATACGAGCTACCTTTGCTGATAGCAGTGGACACATTATCTGTGGAAGCGAGGATCGGAAAACGTACATTTGGTCGACGACATCTACGGTAGAGGGCGAGAAGAGGAATCATCGTCCGGTGGAAATGTTCGAAGCTCATAATTCTATCACGACGTGTACTGTCATGGCACCCATCGAGACACGGCAGTTGCTCAGCGCATCGGAAGATCCCATCTTCGACCTCTGCAATCCACCACCGGTCACTCTAGTGTCAAAAGCTGAGTCCGTCGTTTCGTCGCGGGCGCCTACAGAGGCAGGTTCAGCCCATCCGACACCCGCACCCACAGATACCAACTTTAAGAAAGCTGCGGAAAGCCCGGCATACGTTGCTCGCTCGGCACATCGAGGCGGCAACATAATCGTTACAGCAGACTATACCGGAGCGCTGAAGGTTTTCAGACAAGATTGTGCCCACCAAAAACGCATACGGCTGAGCGAACAGTGGGACACAGCGTCCATGAAGAGAATGTCGGGTATCGGACGACCCAGCAGTATCATATCGCGGACCAGCCGATCACGGCGAGACAGTGTATCTACACAGCCACCAAACGACCGGATCATGACATGGCGACAAAGCATATCGCACGCCAGCTTCGACTCAACGAATTCCCTCCCTCGCCGCAGCGCTTCACCTCGAAAGTCGCTAGCTGCTTTGAGCTTTCACTCCACACCCCACGAATCCCCCGTCCTGCATCCTACAAAAACGAACGACACCTTCGACACCAAGCCCACGGGTACACCCAAGACATCCATATCCATGGACCGCACCACCACATCTTTACGCAGTGCATCACAATCTGAAGCCTCGTCGCCAATCAAAGAGCCGTACACTGTTACTGCTGAGCCGGAGGACGAAAAGAAGTCACAAGGGCAAAGAGCTAGTTCTACCAACCCTCTTGCTTTGTACAACGGCCAGAGCTGGCTCTTTTGGACAAATCGCGACAAGAGTGCGCTGACGGCTGGGAACAAGAAGGAAGCGGAAAGACCGGATTTGCTGGGTCGCATGAGTACGCTTAGTCAGATTAGTAGGCTGACGGATGAGAGGAGCGAGGGGGAGGGGGATGACAAGAAGTAATGCGATGTAGACGTTCGTGCGTATATGGGGTTTGGAGTTCTGCACATTACAAGTCTTTCGTGCCTATTTGGACACAGGGGTCGGAAGTGTATCGCATCACAATGAAGTCTACAGACGAGAAACGATATCCAGTCACTTTGCAAACTTGCACGAAAAGGTCCGCATGTTGTAGTTCGTCAAGTGTCAGCACCAAATCCTCGTTTCCATCGTACGAATAATCACGTCACCAGATACAAGACACAAAGGTGGCAATGTTTGTTTTTCTAATTTTTACACTGTTTTCTGGTATTTTCTATTTTCTGATGTTTTTGTGTGGTTCAAGCATGTCACTCAAAGTGGGCCATGCTCCATAGAACCAAATCAACGACCAAAAGCTCAAACACCATGATGGCTGATCATGTCCTTATACAGATCTGCTGTTATCGTCCGCACTACCTCGTAAATTGCAGGATTTGACAAGCAGACTCTACGCCTGCGACGTCATTCCCACTGACATGATAAGTCATGTCGAGCGAGCGGGGAATCTACTGGATAGTGGGGATAGCAGGGATAGCAGAGAAGGCCGAGGCGAAATCAGGAACATCGGTGATGAATTCTGTGCCAGTGGGCCTGACAAGCTGGCGACGATGACTGAACTGGCGACGCCTATCGAAAGTGGCCGTCTCGTACTCGGGGTCCCAGTCTGAGAAGGTCTCCGGGGCGATGATGGGCGTGGTGAAAGAAGAAGCAGTGGCGGTGGGAGTAGTGTACGTGGTAGTCTCCATGACGGGGTCCCAGTCGCTGAATGTCTCGGGAGCGATGATGGGGTAGTCGAAGGAGGAGGAGGAAGACGGCGTTGCAAGCACGTTCTTGGCACGAGTCATGGTCGCCAGCGTGCTGGATGCGACCGAGGCAGACTTGTCGATGGGCAGGCAGGCGGCGAAGTCGTCGACGATATGACGGATACTGTAGTTCGGTGAGTATATGTCAAGAGGAAGGAGGTGATGAGCTTACCCGTAAGAGTCAGTCTCGGAGATGTCAATCTCATCGTTACCACGTAGCTGGCCGACGTTGGTAGCGAATCTGCGTTCCAGTCAGAGAAAGGTCACAGTAGATACAGTTTGTGGGTGAGCTTACTCGATGGGCCAGTACTTGGAGAACATGGCGCAGTGCTGGACGACGGGGACGTTGTTGCGACGCTGCATGTACGTGTTGACAAAGTGGCACTGGCGGCCCGAAGCATCATTGGTCTCCTCGCAAGCGGTGATGCACCTCTGAGCATCGAATTTGCCGTCTTGCCAGTACCTCATGCCCATGTAGGTGTCCTCACCGTTGCAGTCAAGAGGGGCTTCGATGGCCGCACCGAGTGCGTACGCCTCAAGGGCATAGCCTGCAGGGACATCGGGCGTGACAACGTCCTTGACGTAGGCATTGGCGCCGGCCATGACGACCTGGAAGCCCTCACGGGTCTGGCCCTCGTTGATGGCGATGTTGGGGAGGATGGTGCCTGACCACAAGTCGCACTCTGTGAAGGTGGAAAAGGAGTTAGTTCATGTCTCACATGTTCTTCGAAGGAAGAAACGTACTGATGTGAGTCGTAGACTCAGGGTTGGGGCAGTGGGTGCCGTGAGGCGCATTGGCGGGCTGGCGCTCGAAGAAGATGGTGAAAGCATTGCACTTGGCGTCGTTGTCGCACTCGGCAGCACCTAAGGGTAGTTAGTAAACTTGTTGAAGCCATGACGCACTTTGCCATGTGATGCGCTTCGGCACAGAGTTGTACTTACACAGGTCGGCATCGTACGAGTCCATAGTCACGTAGTGGACGAACTGTGATGGTTCATCGTACGTGGTGAGGAGGTTGGAGTAAGACTGGACGTAGCCAGGGGGAGTGACGGCCGATGATGCAGCATCGGAGAAGAGAGGGTAGGCCTGGAAAGCCTCGGGGGTGTCCGGGAAGACTTTGGGGCCAGAGCCCGAGACGAGAGGCTCGCAAATCGACTTGTTGCCGAAGTTTGCGAAGGCGGTTGCCATCACCATAGTAAGAAGTCCGAAAAACTGGACTAGAGAGAACATCCTGTCTTTGATGTTCGATTTTTTGGTAATTGATGAAGAGAGAAGAGATGAAGAAGAATGGAGGAAAGAGAGGGGGAATACAGTATCTATATGGATTCAGCAGGAGCTGTGCTAGAATGCTAAGACTTAGATTGTGGTTGAGGACGGAGGCAAGTATCCTCTATTGCCCTTGTTGAGCTGGGTCGTGCCCACTTCATCCATATGATGCAATCGCGAGGCCTCCTTCTCGAGAACAAATTGGCGGAGCGAAGTGCCCACCTTGTGATGAACGCGCGTTCTGTTGAACCTGAACTGCCTCTCAGGAACGGAGGCTGAGCTTTGAATCAACATAATACGGCCCAGAAGCGGCTTTATGCTCCATATCGTGGACTGGGTTCCAGATTGTGACTTTGAAGGAAGAAGATCGTGTCTTCTTTAGGCACATTGCTGTGGATATTCGCGCAATATTTTCTTCAACGACTGAATCTTCAAACGCGTATCAAGCTCTGCGTGATCTGATTGACGAGGGTCTAAGTCATTCAGATACTGCAGATCTATTGCAGTTATGTAAGAGTTCCTACTCTACTGAGCCGAGACCTAGGAAGGTAATGGTACGAGTGGATTGTCAGTAGTACGGCCACGCTTGGGTGTGATCTGAGCATTGGAATGGAGCACATGCGCAACATATTCACCAACGCCTGACCTGAGCCTGAAGATCGTGGTGGATGCAGAAAGCAAGGAGGGAGCAGCTCGACGGTCGAATGGCATTAGCTCCACTAGCTCCAGACCCGCCCAAAAACGTCATAGTCTCAACCAACCAGCGACGACCAAACCAACCAACATAGTACTCGCGAATAGCAGCAACAACTTGAGCAAGACCCTCTCGGATTTTCGGTAACGTCGCCTCTTTCTATTACGAAAATTTCCACCCTCACAACCAGGAAAGTAGAGATACGCGCAATCCTGCGGTCATGGGCCGCACCGAAAAATCTCAGGGTCTTGCGCCACCCGCCGTGCGCAAAGATATCCGAGCCAAACAAGCGCGGCACGTGGTGAACAAAGTAGTTCCTGCAATATTGGCATCAAATGCAAGAGCTAGGCGAGGTGCGGACGGGAGTGAGCTTATTCCGAACCCGGAGCCGAACGGCACGGTGGGACAGGATAGTAAGAGAAGGGATGGCGCACGTGTTGAGGGTAGTGAAGATATGGGGTATGTGAAGAGGAAGGGTCAAGGGAGGCGGAAGGTCAAAGGTGGGAAAGACGATGTTGAAGAGGAGGATGCGAGGAATGGTGATGCGGGAAGAGATGTTGGCAAAGGAAGGGGAAAGGGAAGAGGCAAGAAACGCAATGATTCTCTCGACGAAGGACTATCAAATCTCAACTTGAATAGTACTGCAACATCAACACCCGAATCATCTAGTAAACCGCGATGCATACGCATGATAACGACGGATGCCCTCACAGCTGCACATATGCTCGCCAACCCCTCATTATACGATGCGACCACCACAACAAAGCAGACGTCGAAGAAACAACCAAACCCATGTATCTTGAACATGGCCTCTCCCCTTCGTCCAGGCGGCGGTCTCCTAACAGGCGCCACTTCCGCCGAAGAATCCCTCTGCGCACGCACAACCCTGCTCCCCTCACTCAAAGAAACCTTTTACCGTCTCCCCGAATACGGCGGCATATACACCCACGATGTACTCGTTTTCCGCTCTGCTCTTCCTCTTGGAGATAGCGCCGGTGAGCTACCCCCTACTGAGCGCTGGTACATCGACGTCATCAGTGCGGGGATGTTACGATTTCCTGAACTAGAAGGGGAAGAAGAGGACGAGAAAAGGCTAAGCAAGAAAGATAGGGAGATTGTAGAGAGCAAAATTAGGGGTGTAATGAGGATAGCGGAACAAAAGGGGGTTAAGGCGTTAGTGCTTGGGGCCTGGGGCGTTGGGGCCTACGGCAATCCAGGAAGAGATGTTGCGGAGGCTTTTGCGAAGGTCTTAGGTTGTGTTAGCTCTGCTCCTTCATCCGGAGGCAAGAAGAACAATAAGTCGCCATCGACTGGTGCTGAGACATTTCCGACGATTGAAAAGATCATCTTTGCTATTCCCCAACGCAAAGTCGCCAACGATTTTGCAGCTGCGTTCGGCGGCAAGATCGAAGTCGAAGAGGGCCCTGGAGCTTCTGGCGACGATAATGACGAAGAAGATGACGAGGAAGATAAGGTAGCGGAAGAGTTGAGGAGCAAGATCCAAGAGCTGGACGGCCAGATAAGTAAGGTTTGGAATCCAGATCTGAAAGCAAGGCTTGGTACTATCTTGGATGGGTTGAAAGCGCAGTTAAGGGAGAGGGAGGGCACGCCTCGGACGGGTAGTGTGGATGATGAGGAGGAAGATGGGGACGGAGACGAGGATGATGATGAGGATGAGGGATACACTGAAGACAGCGATGAGGCAGATGCGGATGACGGCGGTCAAGATCCCACTGAGCATAGGCAAAGTATACCTGGTAAGAGAAGGGATACAATAGAGGACAGCGATGACGATGAGGAAGATTTGCTTCAATGATACGGAGCGATGTTTTCACAACAGGTGACGAGCATCAACACGGTGCTAGTAAGAATACATTGATGGGTATCTCAAAACTTCTATATGCTCGAACTTTTATGTGTATATACAAGATTTTCCAATGCGCCAACGCTCAAGCGGTCGCAGTCCTAGCACTCGGTTCTTCCGAAACAGGTACTGGCTTTGTATCCTTGGTGCCGTTTGCAGGTGCCTTCTGGTTGGGCTCATCGTCCTCCAACCCCAGCTTCTTGAGGTCCACGGCCAAAGGATCAGACTCGGCCGTGCTTTCTGTAGGGCCTTCATATCCAGGTGGTGGCAAAGCCCATTCAGGCAAGCCAGTCTCATAATCCCACTTCCCTTCCTCACACCTGTACCTTCGCGCGTGCAGGTAGATCCCCAACTCGTGCACACCTGGATCGCTATACAGGTCTGTATCGCATACTTTGCATTTCTCTCCCGTCATTCGCTCCGCTTTCCTCTTGTTGTACGCATCGACCATCTCGTCGTGGTATGCGACCGCGTCAGCAACTTCTTCCTTGCCCATGCGCGAGAGGCGGGACATGATGTCTTCGTCGTCTTCGTCTTCGGATTGACCGCGGCCGAGGGCGGGACCGAACACGCGCTGGTTGGCGTATATGGGGTCGTTCGATATGGGATGGCCGAGGAACTGGAGGTGGACGCGGAGCTGGTGGGTACGGCCTGTTACCGGCATGCAGCGCACAATGGAGTAACCGCGGAGTTTCTTCCACGGCTGACCGTTGGGGCCTGTCTCTCCATCCTGCTTCTCGCCATTACTTCCGTCGTCTCTGGGTGGGTAGTATGCCAACCGCTTGAAGACCGTTTTCGCTTCCTTGCCGTTTGCGCGCACGCGGTTCAAACCGAGCTTCGGGCTGATTTGCAGGATAGGCTTCTCGCAGAGGATCTCTCCTTCTGGGAACTCGCCCACCACTCGCGTGATGTACTCCTTCTTGACCGTCCTGCCTCTTATTTGCGCACTCAACTCCTCTGCCGCCTGCTTGTGCTTGCCAATGAACATGATGCCGCTGGTGAGCCTGTCGAGTCGATTACACGGCAACGGGTTCCAGGTGTAGCCACGGTCGGCCCTCATGATCTCGATGATAGAGTTGAAGTTGTAGCGGCCGGCGGGGTGTACGGGCATGCCGGCGGGCTTGTTGATGACGATCATGTTGTCGTCTTCGTGGACGATGCCGATGGGCTGCGCGGTGCACGGAGGCTCGTGGCGGTGGAGGGTGTGGGATATGACATCGCCGTTCTTGACTATCGTCTTCGTGCTCGGCACTGGCTGGCCATTGATGACTACGCGACCCTCTTCTATGGCCTGCTTGTAGTACTCGGCGGGCCGGTCGCGGAACTCGCTAGAGAAGATGTCGAGAATTTCCCTGCCCCGCCATCTCTCCTTGCAGAAGGTGTTGTATGTAAAGTGGTAGGGCGTCACCTTGCGCAGGCCATCTTCGAGGTAGTATGGGCGCGGCCAGGGATCGCAGGGGGTGATTGCGACGGCGGGGGGCTCCTTCCAGGGAAATTTGTCGTCAGGCAGGGGCGGGTATTTGTCGCGCGGGGGCGAGGGCACTAGGGCCATGGAGGGAGAGCCTGTGCGAGTCTTGGGCACAGGCAGGCGGCCCTTGGAGGCGAGGTATGCGAGGATACGCGGAGAGGGCGCCAGAATCGCGGGGGAGAGGGGTTGAGGTGCGTGTGGGAGAATTCCATGTTGCGCAAGCCGAGGCTGATGGGTGACGCAGCCAACTAGCCGGCCGTCTTCATGTCCGAGACGCGTCTTCCTCCAACACCAACAACCAGAATAGTCAACATGGCACAGCAGGCATTGAAGTCGCGTACACGGGGCGACTACAAGTTTCAACTCGAATACAGGACAAGATGGTGCGTCTGCTCGCGCGAGGCCCTTCTCGGTACTGACAGCAGGAAGGAGCGACAATGACATGTATCACCACATGAACAACAGCGTCTACTACTATCTGTATGTCTCTTCACTCCTGCGAGCGACACTTACTAATTATGAGCAGATTTGACTCCGTAGTCAACACATACCTCATCCAGCACTGCTCCCTCCATCCACCCACCTCTCCACAGATCGGCCTCGTCGTACACTCGCACTGCGATTACCTTGCTCCAGTCGAGTTTCCTTCCGTCGTAGACCTCGCGTTACGAGTCAACAAGCTTGGGAAGAGCTCGGTCACGTACGAGATCGGCGTCTTCGAAAGGGGTCAAGAGGAGGTCAAGGCCGTCGGCGAGTTCGTTCACGTCTTCGTGGACCGCGACAGCCGCCGACCTGGAAAGGATGGCATGAGTGACCAGCTCAAGACTGGTCTAGAAAAGCTGCTGGCGAAGAGATCGAAGCTGTGATATACCTTGGCATCAGAGCTGCTGAGCTATGCATAC